CCCCAGCCCCCCGGCCCCCAGCCACAGATCTCCATCCCCAGCCCCTCGGCCCCCAGCCACAGATCTCCATCCCCAGCCCCTCGGCCCCCAGCCCAGAACCAAACCCTCAGTCGATACCTGCCCTTGGGGTGGGAGGGTGTCAGTTGCTGGCAGCTAGTCTAGGGCTGCCCCTGATTAGAACGCAGGGAACTTGGTACTTGCTAAGCCCATGGAGGCAACGCATTCTCCAAAACATGGTGTTCGGGTCGGCCCCCAGCCACAGATCTCCATCCCCAGCCCCTCGGCCCCCAGCCCAGAACCAAACCCTCAGTCGATACCTGCCCTTGGGGTGGGAGGGTGTCAGTTGCTGGCAGCTAGTCTAGGGCTGCCCCTGATTAGAACGCAGGGAACTTGGTACTTGCTAAGCCCATGGAGGCAACGCATTCTCCAAAACATGGTGTTCGGGTCTCGCCCTCGGTGGCTCGTGACCAAGAAGCACTCCTGCCACTGCCAGCTGGGGGAGGGATTCCACCACCTAGATGCTGCAGTTCCTGCCTTTGGCTCTTTGGTCCTCACTTCATAACCCAGCAGGAGCCAGAGTTTGCCCTTGCTTTGGGGGGGGAGGACAGGGCCAAGGTGACTGCATTGTGCCACTCCTCCCTTCCCCAATAGTTTTCAGGGAAGTGGTTCCTGGTTGGTGTGGCCTCCAGATGTGACTACCTGAGAGAATATAATCACCAGCTGGAAGCAACAGCCATGGCGGTGTCTGCCTCCGACGGGACGTCACTGGCCATCAGCACCTTCCGAAAACTGTAAGTGGCCCGTTGAGGCACACGGGTTGGGCCAGGAGCCCAAGCTGGAATCAGAGCCCTGGTCTCCCATGCTGTGTGTTTGCTGAATCCAGGCAACAGCTCTCAGCCCAGTCTGTAGGACTCTAACCTTAACTCTATCCTTATGACACCTGGGGCTCAGCTCCTGCAGCCCTGTCTCATATGGCCCAACGGGCTAGGCCTGACTCCCCTTGGCAAAAGGCCAACAGCCCAATGGTGCTGATTCCTGTCTCCACGGCACAGGCAGCCCCACTCCAGCTTACAGGCAGACCCCGAGTTACGCGGATCCGACTTACGTTGGATCCGCACTTACGAACGGGGCTTTCTCGCCCCGGAGCTCGCAGGCAGCGGGACCGCCCAGAGCGCAGCGGTCCCGCCACCTCGACCTCCGCCGCCCAGGGGCACCGGGAGCAAAGCCGCAGTTGCGGCGGGTTCCCGCGCTTCTGAGCCTTTGCTCTGGCAAAGCCTCGGGGGCGGGGGCCGCCCCTGCCCCTGCGGCTTTGCTCCCGGTGTCTCTGGTCTGCTGGAGACGGTCCCCAACAGACCAGGGGCACCGGGAGCAAACCTCTGCTCTTGATTGGTACTAACCAACCTGTGGGTCAGAGGATTCTAACACATACACTGTCTTTCTCCCTGCACATGCATAGGGATGGGGTATGCTGGGAGATTAAGCAACAGTACCGCTCCACCAAGGCCCAGGGGCGATTCCTCCTGAGAGGTGAGTGAGGGGCTGGAAAAGGTTAGTGTTGGGTGTGATTGGCGTCTTCCTAGGCAGGATTTTGAAACAATCAAACTAGCAACAAGGCACGTGCTGACTGAGCTTGCATATTTGCCCATTTTAGCATTGCAGGAAATACAGAGGCTGGTGATCCTCCTGGGAAAATTCTGCTTAGCCGGTTGCTTTTCCTTTTAGTCATGTTTGCTCCTACACAGACCCTGGCTGGTGGTCAGGGCATAGCTTGAAGATGGAGAGACCAAGTCATTCTCCTCCCCATATTAATTATCTAATCCCATCAACACAATAGATGAATATCTCACAAACTGTAATGGAAAAGACAAGGTGATAACTTCAGAACGACCACACTGGATCAGACTAATGGCCCATCTAGCCCGGTATTCTGTCTGCTGACAGTGACCAATGCCTGATGCCCTAGAAGGAATCAACAGAAAAATCATTGAGTAACCATCCCCTGTCATCCACCACCAGCTTCTGGCAGTCAGAGGCTTATGGACAGCCAGAGCATGGTTTTGTGTCCCTGACCTCCATGACTAATGGCCACTGATAGCTACATCCTCCATCTGATGGGCTATCCAGACAAGCTTTTGAGTTCCACATAGCTCTTCTCATGAAGCTTGAAAGCTTGTCCCTTCCACCATCAGACATTGGTTCAATAATTTACGCCCCCAATCTACCGCGTCTCTTTCATACCCTGGGACCAACGCAACTGCAACAACTTGTCAACGGCCCTTTGTATATTTCTCCTCAAACACCCTTGGGAGGCAGGGCAGAGTAATTATCCCATTGCACAAACAGACTAAGGACCAGAGTTTTAAAGTCGTTAGGTTCCTATCTTGACATCCAACGTCTGCCCTTGCACAATACATCCAGCAGAGGGTGGAGCAGGGATTCAGCACTAGGTCTCCTGAGTCCTAGGCACTGAACTCTCCTTTCTCTCCCGGCCAGCTAGCATCATTGCAGTGAGTACAGAGCCTAGTACCATGGGGCCCTGGCCCTGCCCAGTGTCCCTACACTCCCATGAGACCATTCCCTAATTTGCTATTCCATTGCTCTGGCTCCTAGGCCGTGGCAGCAACGTGGATGTATTGGTGGGGGAGACAGACTACAGCAGCTACGCCATCATGTACTACCAGAAGCACCGGAAGATCTCCATCAAGCTTTATGGTGGGTGTGCACGCTTGGGGCCTTGCCATTAGCCACCCTGGGAACTTGCCTTCCCATGGCAAGGCTCTCGGGCATAGTGGGGCAGGCTGTCAGATATCTGGGTCCAGGGAACTCTAGGGATCCCCATGGGGCTGGTCCCAGACAGTCAGTACCAAGTTTTGTTTGCTTGCAGTTTAGCTTGGGGTGACTTTGCTGGGGTTGAACCTACTGCTCAGCATCCTAGCTTGTGTCCTAGAGCACTTTCTCCAGGCTACTCCCTCCCAGCTCAGTTCTATAGCCATAGGATCCAGAACCAGTGCTGTTTGTGCTTTGGCTGCTCCCCATATCTCAGGTGGCACTTTGCTGGGGGTAGGCTTTACTGTAGGGGAGTGTGAGGGCAATGGAGCTTGGGGACTGATACTATTTCATGTGACAGCAATGCTTTCTGGTGACTACAGCCACTATGTAAGGGTCATTTCACAGAGACTACAGCTGGGCTTGAAATGTTTTTCCTGCCTCCCAAACATACCTGAAACATTGAAAATGGTCCCATCCAGAAAAGATAAAAATTGGACAGGTCAGTTTTGCTGACTGTGCTTTGTGCCTAGAATTTGCGAGGGGTGCTGACTGAACCATAGCAATGCTTTGATTGGTTGCAGAGGGAGCTCATGGCTCTCACAATCAACATGTGCAGTCAGCATGCATCTCACTTCACATACTCCTTGCTTTAAGTTTGTGTCACTTTAGTAGTACTGGTAGGAAAAAACTGACATAGACAGAAACCAGTAGAATCTGGCAACCCTGCACATGGGCAACAGTAAACACAATGTCTAGCAGGCCACACTCAGAACCCCAATGCAGCCCAGAGGCCGCAGGTTGCTCACCACTGATTTAAAATGTGATAGGTTTTTTTAAGTGTAATTAACTTACATCTGTAAATAAAGTCACTTTGAAACAGAAAACACTGTTTAGGAAATATCAGAATGAAGCATTTCTTCTGATTCAGAATGTTTTCTTTCTGAGTAGAAACATTTATCAAAACTGAACCTTTCCCTGGGAAAATTTGGGTTTCAACAAATTGGCATTTTCTGGTAAAAACTTGACCCACTCGCCAAAGTCCTGGGGACTAACACGAGTCCTGCCATTGGAGTCTCTTTGTTTCACCTTTCCCAAAGGACGCAGTGTCCGGGTCAGTGATGCCATCATGGGAAAATTTGAGCAACGTGTCACAGAGCTGAACATGAGTGAGGACTTCACTTACTACTTCCCCACATATGGTGAGTCCTGGCCATGCCACTGTTCAGGGCTACCGGGATTTTGTCTTCTGCAGCACAGCACATGGGTCATTTTCTGGTAGAAACTAGAGGTTCTGGGCTTTTTACAGGAATGGGTGGGTGAGGTTCTATGGCCTGCAATGAGCAGCGGGTCTGTGAATCTATGAAGATGGGCTTGAGGAACTCAGCACCGTACCAGGATGGTTGTTGCCTGGCCTAGCTATCTGCCAGGGAATAGCTCTCCCAATGCCATTGGCCCAGGGACAATGGTGTTTGTGCCAATGGTTTTGCAGGGAACTCTTAGCTAAGGGCACCGCCCTGCCCCACCCATTTATCCTGTCTTGCTAAAGCAGCTTATTTTAGGTTGGTCCCCTGCAGCTTGGGAGTCCTCAAAGCCCAGAAACACCCTGTAAACCATCATTTATTACTGGAGTTCCTCAAAACCCCAGTGAGGGTTGGGGCTCCATTGTGCTGGGACTTGGGCAAACAGAAATTTGCCAGATAATTATCATAAAAAGAATCTTATGATACTATGCTCAAAGCAAGACCAACCCCAGCTAATTCATCCCTGCCTGGGCTTTGTCAAGCCAGGCCTTAAAAACCTCAAAGGTTGTCTGAAGATTCCGCCACCTCCCTAGGCAGCCCATTCCAGTGCTTCACCATCCTCTTTGTCAAATAGTTTTTTCTAATATCCAACTGTGGGGGGTCAGTGGGGTGCGATCACTCCCTACCGGGTTGGTAGGGGGTTCAGCAAACCCCTTCGTCCTACTCCCCCCGTTTTTCCCGGATCCCCGGCTGGAGTTCTTGGTCGTACATCCTGGCTGGTGGGTGCGATCACTCCCTCCCTGCAGGGCTGGGGGGGGAGGTGTCAGCAAACCCAGTGCTGATGTCCCGTCATAGTGGAAAAGGAGGGGGCACGCGCCCCAAGTCTTGCCCCTCGGAGGGGTGATGCCTTGGCTGGCCCTGCGGATGGTGGAATTGCTGCCAATAGGTGTCACTTGTGATCCCCAGCTGATCCAAGATGGCCTCTTTCACCTTGCAATACTGTAACGCGTCTTGGGCCGCCAACCCCCGATAAGCCATCTGCGCAGGACCCATTAGGTAGGGCGCCAGTAGGGTGGCCCAGTGGCTCTCCGGCCAGCGGGCCGTGGTGGCCACCCTCTCATATGTGGTCAGGTAAGCCTCGGGGTCATCACCTGGTCCCATTTTGGTCAACCTCAACGGGAGGGAGCCGAGACCTCACTTGCCCTCCTCTCCCTCCGGTATGGCGGCTGTCCCGCCGCCCCCAGGGCGGGCCAACTGTAGCCACTTCTCGTGCTGAGTTGCCAGTTCTTGGATCAGCAAGTGCTGCTGGTCCTGAAATTGGATGGATAGTTGCTGCAGCATCTCAGCCTGCTGCTGTTGTTGCTGCCACTGGGTTTCTCCCACCCAGTCCAACAGTTGCTTCAGATCCATTGTTTCCTCGTTCGGGGTCCTTTCCGTAGGTGTAAATCGTCCTTATAATCAGGTTCCGGCTTAGGGAACCGGTACCCGCATTCTCCACCACGTGTGGGGGGTCAGTGAGGTGCAATCACCCCTACCGGGCGGGTAGGAGGGTTCAGCGAACCCCTTCGTCCTACTCCCCCCCCTTTTTCCCAGCTCCCCGGCCAGAGTTCTCGGTCGTACGTCCCGGCTGGTGGGTGCGATCACCCCCTCCCCGCAGGGCCAGAGAGGGGGGTTGTCAGCGAACCCGGTGCTGATGTCCCACCTTAGTGGAAAAGGAGGGGGCATGCGCCCCAAGTCTTGCCCCTCAGAGGGGTGATGCCTTGGCTGGCCCTGCCGTCCGGCTGCCGCTGTTCGCACGTCGGAGGGCAGTCAGGTTCGAAAAGGGGTTGGGTGCCAACGGGGGGTGCGGGAGAGGGACCCGGACCCGCCCTCTCTCCGGGGCCCAGCCCGGGGCCCTAAGTGCAGGGGCTTGCTGTCGCCCCTGCACAGCAGAGGGGGGATGTTTCCTCCTGTAACTTGTCTGCCCAAGGACGCCAGAAGGCTCCCGCCCGGGGCTGCTTCCTCCCTTCCCCTTGCCCCTCGAGCACCCCCGCCGTCTCGCCCGACCTACCGCAGTTCTGGGGTCCGGGTTCGGGGTTGTTCTGCCCAAGCCCCATGGGGCTGTCTGTTGCCGCGGGTCCGGTCCTGGCCGAGTCGCTCCCTTCGTGGGTGTCGAGCCCTGTCCCAGTCATCTTCTGACCCGGGACTAACCGACCGCCGGCTGCCACCAGTAGCTCCCTGCCGGCGCAGGCGTGGAGGCCGGGTCTGGCCCCGCCGCCATTCTCCTACAGCCCCGCGGCACAGGGGGGTGCTGCCCGTGACTAGCTCTCCTCCCGGCAGTTCGGACCGTTCGGCGTGCGGGTCGCTGATGGCCTGTCACACCAACCTTGACCTCCGCCGCTGCAACTTGAGACTTTTAATTCCACTGAGCAGCAGGGAGTGGTAGGCAGCAGCTGAGAACTCTGTTCCATGCCCACACTTCGCTGGGGCAGGGCCCCTGGGCTGGGAATATTCCTGGAGCATGGGCACAACGGGCTGATGTAACTTACCAGCTCTAACTCTGGACCCTTTGCCTCTCCCTCCAGCTTGGTGTCATCTGCAGACTTGTTGAGGGTGCAATCCTTCCCCTCATCCAGGTTATTAATGTAGATGTTGAACAAAACCAGCCCCAGGATCAACCTCTGGGGCACTCCACGTGATACAGACTGCCAACTCGACACTGAGCCGTTGATCACTACTCATTGTGCCCAATGATCTCTCCGGCTTTTTATCTACCCGATTGTCCATTCATCCAGGCCACACTTCTTTAACTAGCCAGCAAGAATACCTTAGGAGACTGTATCAAAAGCTTTGCTCAAGTCAAGGTATATGAGAGCTCCCAGTGGAAAGCAGGGCAGGCTCTGCAGCGCACTGTACGGCACTCAGATGGAGTGGGAGGGCACTGGGGAGATCGTTGCTGCTGGTAGGACTGGGGGTCATCTGTGGACAGAGGCAAAAGGAATTTGTTGCATGGCAGCTGGTAGGGGAGCTGGGACACAGGTGTTAGGCCTCGCAAAGCAGAGCCTTCAAGGATCCATGGCCCTGAGCTACCACGCTCTTTTAGGATGTGCTGGAGGTTTGCTGCGTGGGGGGCATGGTGATTTCTTAGCAGTAACAAGTGGGCCCAGAGGCTTCTAGGCGCAATTGTGAGAGGCAGGGGCTAAGGAGACCTAGCACATAAGTGCTGGGGTGAGCAGGAAACAGCAGAGTTTGCTCCAGGTTGGGAATTCCAAGAGAGAGGAGCTGCTGAATGTGCCTGAGTTATAAGGGACATATACCCATGGGCTAGGGGCAACTCATTGGCCACCTTGCGTTATGGCATCGACCCCAGGCCCTCTAACATGAAAGCCCAGTGCCCCTCGCAGCTATGGGCCAGATGTAAATGGGTGTTGCTGGTATTCAGTCACTTCCGTGGAGTGGTATCTATTCATATCAGCAAAGGTCATGGGGCATAGGCCTGCACTGAGCTTTGGGAACAGTCAGGCGGCACTCTGGACACTGACAAGTGGCCTTTGTTGCAGGATTCTGTGAGTCTGCAGATCAATTTCATCTGCTTGATGGTGAGTTGCAGCCCCCCCAAGGCCCGTCACTCATCCAGCAGGGCCAGTACCCCCACTAAGCCTGCAAAGCCTTGTGGGCAGAGTGGGATTGTGCAACCCAGTTTAGCAGGGAGAGATGGGGAGGGATTGGGAAAGTCTCCCCCATGGACAGCAAACTGGTGTCTGAGAGGGCTCTCTGGCTTGGGGGGACGGGGCCAGATGGGAGGGGCTTTCTGGGGTGGAGGTCGGATGGGGGAAAATAGGGTCTATGCTAGGGTGAGGCAGGGCAGGGGCCCCATCCCCCTCTCGTGAATGTTTCAGGATCAGGAGGATTTCTCCAGTCCTGGCCATTGGCTCTGAAGAACAGCCCTGATCTTGTCAGAGGAGAGCTGACTGAAGGGTGGTGGGTGGTGGTCCTTGGCAGGGCCCAGGTGGTGCTTCCCCCCTCAGCTCCTTTCTATCTGCTTTTCAGAAATGAAGATCTAAGGCTGTGTCCAGACTCCATGCCTCCGTCGACGGAGGCATGGAGTCTGGACACAGCCTAAGTGAAGAGAGAAATGCCAGAGATCCAAGGAGCCAACTAGCCATGTTTGCGGTCAGGCTGAGTGCAGGGGCCTGGCCACGGCTACTGCTAGTGAACTCTGGAGCCCCATTATTCAGCCAGGGCTGGAGATCTCCAGGTGGATACTGAACCAAGGGAATGATGAAGGGGTGGGATTGGGTCTCCCCTGTAGCCCTAACTGTGGTGTTTGTTCACTCCCAGCTCTTGCTTCCCTTCACTCCTCCAGCTCATCTGTCTTCCACATGATATCCCTGCCCAGAGGCAGATTAGAGTTTTTTGGGGCCCTCTCTACCCTTTCTGCCTCTGTCTCGGCATCCTCCTCTGTGCTCGTGCTGGAGAGTGGGGGCTTCAACACTCACAGGCAGGATCACCGGGCAGATGCAGTGGGTTGGAATAAAAAGTGCCCATTTTCCATCCTGTTGGCCCAGTGACCAGTTCACCACTACTCCTGCACCTTCCTGTAAGATCCCCTGCCCAGCTGCCCCTCACTGCTCCTGTCCTGCTTCCCTGACCTGATTCAGCACCTGCTCTAGTTGCTGTCCCCAGAGAGGCTGTGTGTTCCCATGCTGAAGCCCTACTCCCCTGACATTGAGGCTACATCTAGACTGCAAGCTTCTTTCGGAAGAAGCTTTTCTGGAAGAGATCTTCCAAAAAAACTTCTTCTGAAAGAGCTCGTCCACACTGCCAAAGTGCATCGAAAAAGTGATCTGCTTTTCCAAAGATAGCGTCTCCACTGAATGGACACTATCTCGCCTTTAAGCTGTGATTACTATGGCTGGAGTGGCCATCAGGGCACCTGTGCTTTTGCCTCTTTCTCTTCTTTCAAAAGAACCCCCTCTTCCCCGTGCACACACGCCTTATTTCAGAAGAGCTCTTTCGCAAAAAGGCTTCTTCCTCATAGAAAGAGGTTTACCAATGTCAGAAAACCCCTCTGTTCTTTTGATTTTTTTCGAAAGAATGTGATTGCAGTGTGGATGTAAGTGAAGTTTTTCCAAAAAAACTCGGTAGTGTAGACATAGCCTGACACAGTATAGCCAGGCAACCCTTTGGCTTCCACCTCCTGTGTGCTGTCCCTTTCAATTACTCAGGGTCTGGCTATGCCTGTTGTGCTGGACTCGCTGCAGACTAGCATGGAGCAGATGCCCAGCCTGCACTCTCCCTCTGAGATTCAGAATAAATGCTGGCCAGGCTGAGAAGGCCCCTGTGCTCCTTGCAGATGGGAGAATGACACAAGTGTGCCCGGAGGATTGGGCAGGTGGGATCCCCCCTGGACCTCATCCACTTTCAGAAATGTGGTGAGTGTGTTTCCTGCTGCCCTGGCAGGGCAATCTTTGCAGGAATGTTGAGTCTTTCAGTGACATTCACCCTGTGGAGCAGGAGGGATGAGCAAGCCCCTCTGCACCTTCCCCGCGTCCCTTTGCCATCATCCCTGAGTTATAGCTTGCCCAGTGCTGGATTCCAGTCCCGGATGCTCTCCCACATCTCTGCACACTGTGCCCATCTAGCTCAACCCTTTCTCCTACTTGCCAGACAGCTGGCACCTGTCAACACAAGACAGTCGAATCATGTGACTGTGCTAGTTTGACCCCAAGTCCCAGCATTCCAGAGACTTTCCAAAGGTCTCCCCCAATGCACTGCTAGAAGATTCCCAGATTGTACAGTGCCAAGCCATGGGGTAACACCTCCAGAATGCTGGGTACTGATGCAAGGAGAGATGGGTCAAAGCTGGCGGCATGGCTCTCCTGTTTTTGGATTAGCTAGTCCGCAAAAGTCCATATTATCATCCATCTCCCCTCCCCATTAACAAGCCACTGTGAGTCCAGAAGCATGTGCTGAACAGAACCCAAATCTCCTGCCTATTGGTCTTATTTACTCTGTCACAGGACCAGCTATAAGATGGAGGCACTGCAACACGGTTAAACATGCTCCACAGGGAAGATATGACCAGAGCATGTTAGAACCATGTTCCCCAAGTATGCTATTGTTATTTACCAGCACCCCTTTGTGAAAGGGGATTCCCAGACACCTAGAGCTGCCCACACTCTGAGGAGTATACAGAGTGAGAGGACAAATCAGTTTGCTTCACTTCCTACAGAGCTGGCTCTGTAAGAGGGATTGAAAGCCAGACAGGCGAGATCTTGGGTTGAGGAATATAGTTAAAATCTGCTGAGCAAAGCCAAGCCATGTTTGATCTGTGTTTGTTGGGAGCTTGCCCATGTCTATGCAGCCTAGGCTGGGCTGGTTTTGGGCTATGCAAAGTGGTGACTGGCAGGATGATCAGGAGGGAGAGCAGCACTTCTTCTGCTGAGTGGACACAGGGATTGAAAAGACCCTGCATTGAGCGTAAGCCTGTACTTTGCAGAGAGGCTCGGGGGGAGCCGTTCTGTACTTGCCCATGCCCAGCCACTGGGGTTTTGCAATCTTGACTGAAATTCCTAACACATGTTGTTTATCAAGAGAACTTACATAAGACATCCCACGTGACCCTTCCACTGTGTTCTCTGCTCATTGTTCCTGCTGCCCATGTGCCCTGCAGTCACGTCCAGCTGGCAGCATTTCCTGAGCATCCCATTGCTCCAGCCCTGGCAGAGCAACACGCCAGGGGTCAGTATCCTGCTGGATTCCACTTCCCTGCAACAGCAGGCAGATAACTGCCAGGCACAGAGCACCCATGTCTGTCATCATCCTTTGGAGAGTCAAGATGCTAGTCTGCCCCTTGCACTTTCAGTTGTGGCTTTTTTCATTGTCTGTCCCAAATGTGCGGCATGTTGCTGTGTCCTGCCAAACGGCTGCCATGGTCCTCCCCAGAGGTGGTTGTAATTCGGTGATTCTAATACAAGTACTTTGGGCTCCGCTGTGATTAACATTCATTTCTATAGCATCTTTTATCTCCTTATTGAACCATCAACACTTGAAACCTGCCTTTGTTGCCAAGTGGCCTACCTAGTTCACTCACCTAGGCCCCATTTTGTTTCCTGAAAAAAATGCAGAAGAACGGCTCTTACACAAGATGGGTTTTTGGTGCAAAAAGGAGCCATATAGAAGGCTCCTTTTTGCGCAAAACGGAGCCTAATTAAGTATGCAAACGAGGCACAGTGATATTCCATGCTTCACTTCATTTGCGTATTTCTTGTGCCAAACGAGTGTAGTCTAGACATATCCCTAGGCTCTGGATAGTCAACTGATGCCAAAGCAACAAACCTCCAGCAAGGTGACTGAAAGCCATCCAGAGCTCTGAGGGGCTCAGCCCACTGGGCATGAGCTGCGGTTATCAGCGGCAGGGCAAGCAATGCCTTCCTAACTGCCTGATTGGCCCTGCCCACATGTCGTGCCCAGCCCACGGTCAGTACCGATCCCCCAGTCTCCTGGGGCTGCCTTGGCTTCCACCCTGCACTGCCAGCGCTCCCCATACTGCAGGATCAGGGAGACTGGGGCTGCCTGTCTTCCAGAGGGGCAGGACCATGCTCTAGAAGGGGAGGGCCTGCATCTACCGTTCAATGCTTGGCTTGCATGAGGGCCGTGGGTGGCAGGGGAGGCATCTCAAGCAGAAGGGGTGGTGTTGGGGGATTGCCTCTCCCAGCCGTAGATTTACCCACTGCCCATTCCACTTACCCACATCTCAGGCCTAGAGCCCTAGTACTTCTACCCCTCACCCACAGACTCCTTGCAGCTTAAGTTAATAGAAATCCCCTTTTATTAGCAGCACTGATTTGATCTCCAGTAGCCTGTCAGCCCATCCAGTGAAAAACAACATCCCAGGTCATCCATGCATACATGAAACCAGGACATTCAGTGGGGCAGAGATTTCAGGCTACTTTCTGTGTTCACACCCTCTGAAATCAGTGATATTTCACAGGGGTAAATAATGTTGGAAGCTGGCCCGCAAGCACAATGTCTGGAGTAGGTGTGTCAGTTTCCAGACACCATCCATACTCAGAGTCAGCAATGCTGGGATCCTATCCTAGGTCGGCTCCCAGACCTCTTAGGTGGCCTGGGGCAAGTCCCATTGTCTCTCTGCCCTTCCACTCCCTGTCAGAGAGCTGGGGCTAGTAATCCCACGTTCATGGTAAATGCGTTGAGGCAGGGCCTGTCTCACTCTGTGCAGTGCCGCAGTGACTGCAGTGGAGCCTCTGACACAGCAGCCCTGGATGGAGATAATCCTTGTGGGAATTGAGGGTGAAGTCAGGATTGTGTTTGTTGCCAGACACCACAAGGAGGGAGCACATGGGACTAGGTCGGCCTGTCTTGTGACTCTTATCTCTTTGGCCTGGAGATTTTACAGTGCAGTGGGATAATGAGTGGCAAAACCCAGCCTCACTCTGCCATCGCCTCCCACTCCCTGGCTGTGTCTAGACTGGCCAGTTTTTCTGGAAAACCAGCCGCTTTTCCAGAAAACCTTGCCAGCTGTCTACACTGGCCGCTTAAATTTCCACAAAAGCACTGACTTCCTCCTGTAAGAAATCAGTGCTTCTTGTGGAAATACTATGCTGCTCCTGTTCAAGCAAAAATCCCTTTTGTGCAAAACTTTTGCGCAAAAGGGCCAGTGTAGACAGCTGAGATTTGTTTTCCACAAAAAAGCCCTGATCGCAAAAATGGCGATCGGGGCTTTTTTGCGGAAAAGCGCGTCTAGATTGGCATGGACGCTTTTCTGCAAAAAGTGCTTTTGCGGAAAAGCGTCTGTGCCAATCTAGATGCTCTGTTCCAAAAATGCTTTTAACGGAAAACTTTTCCGTTAAAAGCATTTCTGGAAAATCATGCCAGTGTAGACGTAGCCCCTGAGTTTCTGCCCTGCCTGGCTTCTGTGTTGTTTTATTAAAGGATAAATCCATGGCACTCTTTGCACGACAGTTCTTTTTGTAGGAGAAACTGGCCACAGCTGGACATGGGGAATGTGTCCAGGGAGCCAGGGGTAACAAGTAACGTGGAGAGGAAAAAGCAGCTGTTACGAAAGCAGGCGCCTTACATAAAATTCCCCTGGCAGTGATGAAGCATGTTAATGAGGGAGGCCCAGCCAGGGTAGGGCAAGGCTTTAGCAGGCTCTCTTTGTATATTGCATTTGCAGGACCCTGATTACTGATGTGCACCTGCATTAATATACAGGAAAGTGCCTTGCCAATGGGGCCACCTTGGGAATTAAAGAACTGGGAGTTGATTTACTACACAGTAATTTGCCAGTGTAGACTTGGCCTTGGCTTAGAATCCAGAAGCCCTGACTCCCAACACTGTGTGATAGCCTCTCTTTCTTCTCTTTATGACGAGGGCTGCTCCATAGCACCTCTAGACCTGGCGAAAGGGCAGGGACTTTGTCATGCAAGTACATGTGCAAAGATGGAAGCTGGGCACAGAGAGGAGGCTTGACTAACCAAGCGACACCCAGCCAATCCAGGAACAGAAGCCAGACCTCAGGACTGGCAGGCTGAGACACTGCTATGCTGCCTCTCCTTTTGGGTTCAATCACCTCGTTCCAGTTTAACAGTGAAGTGAGCATACCTAGACACCCTCCCTCCTCCAGGGAGCAGGCATAGGGTTGGGGGAGGGGGTCGGTCTCTTTGGGAGGCTTCCATTAACTGCCCTGATCCTCCTGGGTTTCTGCCCCTTTTCTTCCAGGCTTCAGGCCATCTTCATTCGGTACCCCTCCTAGCTCCCTTCCCCAACCCCAGTTGGTGCCCCCAGAGCAGGACTGGATTGGGAATAGGAATAAAAATAGAGAGGCTGGGCCAGAAATCGCTTCAAGGCAGCTCATTTTACAGGGCTGCCTTTGACTGCAGTAGTGCTTCTTATACAAAGTGACAGCAGCAGAAACTCTCTGGACTTATACCACTCTGTGGATTCAAGACTACTCTAGCTACTACTCATGGGGCTGATGCTTGAATTGGGGCATTTGTTTCTCTGAGAATAAATGGAATTTCACCAGAACCTAGATCCTTTCCCTCTGCCATGCTCAGACTGGCCAGAGGCTTTGTAAAGAGCAGGGCAATTGAGCTGCTAAACAGGACAAAGGACTTTATAGATGAGGTGACATTAAGAGCCTTGCTTGTGTACTATGCATTGCAGGCAACTGAGAATTGTCCTCACACTTAACCCTTTAATTAGCAAAGGGGAAAGGCTTGAGACACCTCCTCTGTTGGAGGTAACTGGAGAGGCCAGAACTTGGGGTGTAGAAGTTAATAATTCATGCTTCCCATGTGGGAGGTATTGTTTGACAGAGAGATTGGTAAGAGGGGTGCACAATTACCTAAAGCATGAGTCAGGCCCCCAGAATCATGAGATTTTTTAAAACCAATCACTGTTGGGTTTCCTTTATCCCCTTTCTGGTTCTCGTGCCTTTTGAAGGGTCCCATTTTTCACACTCTTCTCCACAAGTACAAGAACAAGGAGCGGCCATGTTGCATTTTAATAAAAAGGTAGATTTGCACCTGGCCACAGCTCCAGAAGCTGGGCCTTTAAGAAAACACCAAATATCACAAGAGCTGGTAGCTTCTGACTAGGATGGTGGAGTCAAACAGGACTGCTGCATTTAGCAAACATGGGACTCTCTGTAGAATTGAACAAGTGAACAGAGTGATAATCAGTGTCGGTTGAAATTCATGCCAGTGTACAATGCTCTATGTGCCAGAAAAGCCCTGTGTGAAAGGAAATTAAAAGCTAGCAGGGAAGACTTGGTTTGGGCACTCTGCACTGAGGGACTCATTTCCTTTGTGCTTTGGATTTGTTGCCAGGAGTCACAAGGTGAGGGCATGCTTTGCCAATCATGCTTTTCTCTCATGGCTTAGCCACATGTATATTTGCACAATGGGACCAGTGCACTGCCCTGCAGCACCCAGCTAGATTTGAAGAACAGAAGAAAACGTCTCCAGCACACTACACTATGCTGTAGGACTTGAGGTAAAAACAGACCCTTCAGAAGGTAATACAAAGAACTTTGGCCAAGGATGCATAAAGGGAAAGGCACAGAAAAGTGCGCTTAGAAACATAAAAAACTTAGGTGAAAGGCACCTCTGAGATTCATGGAAAGCAAAGTACCCTGGGCCTCCATGTCTAGAAGAGGAAACAGTTTGTTGTAGGAGGCATGAGAGGCTTTCTGCACAAGATAGGCTTGTAGGAGTGGAGATAAGACCTATAGTGCTCTGGTTCCACTGGCATCCCTGGAAGTTTGGCCAGGATTTCACCTCTAGAACTTATTCTGATGTTCCTGCAAAAGACATGGAAGCAGAACACAAACCTCAGTGAGCTGCACCATGCCAAAATCTACCCTCTTTGTGCCCAAAACAGCGTATAGAGGCTAGCCAAGGCTCTGAGGGGCCACCTGCTGCAGAGTTGGCCTGTACATGCTGACTCAGGCTCACAGGGCTGTTTGATTGTGGTGTTGATGTTTGGGCTCTGGCTGAAGCTCAGTCTCTAGGACCCTGCAAGGTGGGGGCTCCTGTTTGCTCTTGAACATTTGCATTGCAGTGAAACAGCCTAGGCTTGCCAATGTCTAATTGTGGAAAACCAAACACCCTAGCCCCTTTCCTGAGGCCCCACCCCTGGTCACTGCATTCCTTCTCCCTTGGTGGCTCGTTCTCCCCCCACCCTCACTGTTACTGGTGTTGTGGGGGGACGCATGAAAAGGTGAGGGCTCCAGGAGGGGGGGGTGGGCTCTGGGGTAGGGCTAGAAATGAGGGAATCAGAGCACAAGAGGTGGCTGCAGATTGAGGCAGGGGTTTCCGGTATAGGTACCAGGTGGTGAGGGAATCAGGCTTGGGGTGCAGGCTCTGTTGTGGGGCTGGAGCTCTGGCTTTGGGGGAGCTTAGAGCTGGGGCAAGGGGTTGTGGCTCGGGGTTGGCATGTGGTTTTACATCACGTGGCTCCCAGTCAGCAGCACAGTAAGGCCAAGGCTGAACTGGACAGCTGGCAGTTTGTACTAAGATCTACTGTTTCTGCTGTAAAAACTTAAAAAACAACCAATAGTCTAGCAGCACCGTAAAGACTAACAAAACATGTAGCTGGTGTCATGAGCTTGTGTGAGTACAACCCACTTCTTCAGATGTTTCTGCTGTGAGCGTCCACAGCAGGGAGCAGTTTGTGGGTGCCCAGCCCCCAGCCTGACCTTTGCATTGCAGAGCCTGCTCTCTGGCTCATTTCCTCTTGCATAACCCAGCTCAGCAGGGGAGAGATGAGGGCTGGCATTTGCTAGTGTTATGTTTTCCCACCTGGGGATATCAGCTGCCTGCCAATAAATAGGGGGCTCAGCCGTGGCTCCTGCTCATACACAGCTTGCCTCTCTTCTTGAGCTCTGCAGTGAGCTTAGCTTGGAAGGGCTACAGGGGAGGAAAGAGACAGAAGCATGCAAGCTGTGCTGCTCAGCCTTCTAGGGCTGGCCCTGCTCCGTGCTCTCCATGGACAGGAGGAAGTCCCTGTGCAACCTGACTTTCAGCTGGAGAAGGTAATCTGGCCCATCTTGTGTGTGCCCACTGCCAGAGGACTGGCTCCCTTCTTTCTCTTTGCAGATTCTCAAAGGGGTAGCTGTATTAGTCTGTAACTTTAAAAAGTAGTAGTCCTGTAGCACCTAAGAGATTTCCAAAAATATATAGAATCATGAGCAAAACCCACTGCTCTGAAGAAGGGGGTATTGCCCACTAAAGCTCGTGATATATATATTTGTTGGGCTTTGAGGTGCTCCAGGACTGCTTGTGGCTCTCTTTGCAGAGGCAGGGATGGATCTTGATCCTGATTAGGGTGGTCAGGTTGAAAAGGGAGGGTATTTTTTAAGACCAGGCTCTTAGGAGGAATCCATAAAGATTAGGCATTTCTTACTGATGTGTTGAGACTGTTCATATTTCTACTAGTGATCACCAAACTTGTCAATTGTGCTCCTCCTTACCTGGTTAGTGCCCCTCTGAGTTAGTGAGGTTGGGAGATGGGGACCAATCCTCCTGGGGTAGAGGGATGAGTGGAGCAGGATAGAGTAGTGGGACCTGCACTGTGGGGGCTGGGGAAGTGACAGGGACATGATGGGGGAGGCAGAGCCACACTTTGGGGTGAGGAGGTGACGGGCAGGATGAGGGATGCGGATCTGCACTGTGGGGTAGGGAGATGACAGGGACAGGATGGGGAGCTGCACTGTGGGGTAGGGATGTGATAGTGTAAATGATAAACTGATGAGCCTAGACTCATTAGTTAACCTTCATAGTTACATGCAGCCCCCTCCCCTCTGAGGGGGGGGGGGAAGACAGTGCTTGCAGGGAGTCAGCTTTTTAAGCAGCTATACACCTTCACATTTCCTGAATACATGCATGTTAACATCTCTACTGTGGGGTTGAAGAGGTGACAGAGGAAGGATGGGGGATGTGGAGCTATACTGTGGGGTGGGGAGGTGACAGGGCAGGATGAAGAATGAGGAGGCAGAAAATAGGAGCCCCCTGTGCCTCCCACGTGGGAGCCATCTCTGAGTGCTGCTCCAGCAGCAGCTGCTCTTCTTGCCTCTGCTGGCAGAGTCCAATTAGTGTGGGTAACTGGTTGTGTATGGAGGGGGCTGGGGCTGGAGTGGACCTGGAACTGGAGGCAGAGTGGGACTGGGTGATACTCCCTTACTGGTCACCAGCAGGCTGCCTGGATCAGCTGTGCTTCACAGATGTTTTTCTTCATCCCCCTAAAGAGGGGTGTGTCTCTCAGTTGAGGAATGAGTGTTGGACTGAGGTCAGACCCCTCCCACTGCAATGCATTGGCCAGCCCCTAGCTGTGCAGGGATAAAGAATTATGGCCAGTGGGTGTGTTGTTCCAAACAATCAGCCAATAGAAAGGCTCTCACACCTTCTTCTGAAGCTGTTGTCCTGGTTAGAGCTTGCTGTGCCCAGTTTGGTCCTGGGACAGGACCCAGGGCTTGCTGTGTGCAGGTCTGACCCAAGGCCCAGTGCTGGCTGCACCCAGGTCCTGCCTGGAGCTTGCTCCAAGGTCACTGCATGCAGACCTGGCCTGGGGCAGAGCCTGAGGCTCTCTGTGCCCATATTAGGCCTGTGCTGTCAGTGCCAGGGGCTTGCTGTGCCCAGGTTGGTCCCAGGGCAGGGCCCTAGGTTTGCTATGCCAAGGTCAGTTCTGGGGCCGGACCAGGAACTTGTGTGCAAGTTAGGGCTACTCAGGCAGTGCCCAGGGCACAACACACCCATGTTGGGGCCACTCTAGCAGTGCTTGGGGCTCACTGCACCACTCTGGCAGTGCCCATGGTGACTGGAGGTTGTGTGCAGTTCACAGGGAAGTGGTACAGCATCGGCCTGGCCTCCAGCTCCAGGTGGTTCAAGGAGAAGAAGCAGGTGCTGAGGATGTGCACCACGGTCATCATGCCCTCAGCAGACGGAAACCTGGATATCACCTCCACCTACCCCAAGTAAGGCAGTCGCTGTCACTGGCAGCACTGCCTGTCTGAGGGAGAAGGATACTCACCGTCCCTACTTCACAAAGGCTCGTCCTGCACCCTTCCCAGGGCCCTGATGGCTGTGGGGAGGAACCCTCACAAGGGACACTCCTGACTCCTTCCCCACACCAATCACAGAAAGATCCTAAGTGGGCTTGAGGTCCTGGCCTCATCGTGACATGGACAGCGGGTTCTGGTGCTCCTTGCCTGTGGGTTTGGGCAGTGGCAAAGGTGCGGGGAGATAGGTACAAGCTGCCTTCTCCTTGTTCCACACTGGGACTTGGGTTCATGGAATGCAGCAACTCCTAGCACCTCTGGGGTGCAAGTGCCCCAAACAAGGGGAAACCGGGCTACCCTGAGATGACCAGACTCTGTGGGATCTGGCTGCCTGTGGCTCAGCCCTCTTGGAACCTCTGGGCAGGGCCGTAAAAAGAGTGAGGCGAATGAGGCACTTGCCTCAGGCGCATAGCTGAGGGGGTGCAGAGAAGACCGCTACCATGCTTTCTTTGCTCGTGCCTCACGCCATGTCAGCACCCCTACCCATGCTGAGGACGGTCTTGCCTCAGGTGCCAAATTAGCTAGTTACAACTCTGCTTCTGGAATGTCAGTCACAGTCTAGACCTGCCCAAGCAGCAAGCCCCAGACAGGTGTCCTTAGAGAGCATGGCTACCCCTTCCTGGTACACGGAGAGCTGCCAGGCATGCAGCCTGTCCCTGCCATGAGAAGCAAGGGGTGGGTTTCCCTGGAATACCCTGCCTCTGATAGTCCCAGCTCTGGGATTCCCACTGGCTCTCCACCCCACTGCTCCTCTCAACAATGGGTCCTGGCTTAGCCCAGTAGGCTGTTTCAACTACTGTGTGTGGGAGCTGCTGCCCACAGAGGGTGTAGTGGGTTAGATAGAAAGCTGTCCTGTAGAGTCCTGAAGAACACTTCGACCTTCCACCCAAAGATCTCAAAGCACACTGAAGCCAATTAGCTCCCACAGCTGTGAAGTCAGACAGGGTCAACCCATTTCACAGATGAGGGAAACTGAGGCACAGAGACAGGATGGGACAAGTTATACAGTGAGTCAGTGTCAGAGCTGGCAATTGGTCACAGAAGTCCTGATTCCTTGATTTTTCTATCCCTGCCATGTGATAGGGATGTCCGGTGGTGGGATGGCTTCCTAGCTCTCTGGAGGGTGCTGTAGGAGCCAGTAACAGGGACAGTAAGGGCTGATGTGACTCTGCCTGCTTGGGTGGGGGATGGGTGACATCCAACATGGAGACTTGGTCTAGATCTCCGTCTGCTGGCAAAGAGTCTTGGTATCCAGCAGCGAGGGTTGGGGTTCAAGCACAGTACTTCTGCCAGAGCAGAGCTGATCTTAGTGAGCTGGTGTCTGAACAGATTCCTGGACTAGTGCTGGAGAGTCCTGACTTGGGCTCTTGTGTAAGGATGTGAAAGAGCAGTAGAGTAGTCAACTACCCGATAAACCCTTATCGGGTAGCACTATCGACTACTCGATCACC